TTTCCAACATCATTTGTTGAATGTTTTTTCCTGCTTTGTTAAAGATTAATTGACCATACAGTTGTGGGTTCATTTCTGGGTTTTCTATTTTGTTCTGTTGATCAGTACCATACTGTTTTGATCACTATAGCTTTGCACTATAAATTGAAGTCTGGAATTGTGGTGCCCCCAGCTTTACTTTTCTTTTTCAAGTTGCTTTGGCTATCTGGGGTATTTTGTGATTCCATACACATTTAGGATTGTTTGTTTTAGCTCTGTGAAAAGTGCTGGTGGTATTTTGATAGGGATTGCGTTAAATGTGTAGATTGCTGTGGATAATAGAGATAATATAGACACTTTAACGATATTTGTTCTTCCAATCCAATCCATGAGCATGAAATGTCTGTTTCTTTGTTTCATCTTTGATGTCTTTCAAGAGTGTTTCATAGTTTTCAGAGGCTACAGGTCTTTAACCTCTTTGATTAGATTTATTCCTAGTTATCTTCTATCTTATTTGGTGCAGTTGTAAATGTCTTTCTGCTGCTTCATTATTGGTGTATAGAAATGTGCCAGGTTTCTGTACGTTGATTTTGTATTCTGCAAATTTGTGTATCGGTTCTAGCGATTTTTTTTGGTTGAATCTTTTGGGTTTTCTACGTACAGTATCATGTCATCTGCAAATAACGAATGTTTGACCTCTTCTTTGCCAGTTTGGGTGCCTTTTATTTATTTTTGTTGTCTAATTGTTGTAGGTAGGAATTCCAGTACTATGTTAAATAACAGTGGTGAGAGTGGACATCCCTGTTGTGTTTAACTTCTATATATTTGTGGTCTTTCCAGATCTTTTCTTTTGGTTAACTTCTGATTTCATAGCTTTTCCTTAGGAAAAGCTCTCAGTTTCTCCCCACTGAAAATTAATATTAGCTGCAGGTTTTTCACATATGGACTCTATTATGTTGAGGTATGTTCTTGCTAAACCTACTTTGTTGAGAGTTTTTATTATGAATCGATTTGTACTTTGTCAAATGCTTTTTGTGTATCTAAATGATCATATGGTTCTTATTTCTTTTATTAATGTTGATTGATTTGAGAATAAATGAGCTTTTAAGTATTGCTGGATTCTCTTGGCTATCATTTATTAAAAATTGATGTGTTTCTGTTCATCAGAGTTATTGGTCTGTAGTTCCCTTTTTTACTGTAGTCTTTATCTGCTTTTGGTATCAGGGTAACGTTAGGCTCATAGAATGACTTTGAAAGGTATCCTTTCTTTTCTATTTTTTTGGAATACTTTAAGAAGAATGATATTAATTCTTCTTTAAATGTATGGTGGAATTCACCTGAGAAGCCATCTGGTCCCGGTCATTAGTTTGTTGGGAATTTTTTGATTACTGATTCAGTTTCTTTGCAAGTTATTGATCTGTTCCAATTTTCTCTTTATTCCTGTTTGTTTTGGTCATTTATGTTTCTAGGAACTTATCCATTTCTTCCATGTTGTCCAATTTGTTGGCATATCGTTTTTCATAATATTCTTATATGGTGTTGGTTGTTATTTCTCCTCTCTCATTTATGATTTTATTTATTTGGTTCCTTTCTCTCTTTGTTAAGTCTGGCTGGAGGTTTACCAGTTTTATTGATTTTTTTTTTTTCAAAGAACCAACTCCTGGTTTCATTGACCTGTTCTATTGTTTTTTTGTTTTGTTTGTTTTTAGTTTCTAGATAGTTATTTCTGCTCTGATCTTTATTATTTCCTTCCTTTCGCTGGCTTTAGGCTTCTTTTATTATATTTTTTTCCTAACTCCTGTAGGTATAAGGTTAGGTTCTTTGAGATTTTTCTTGCTTCTTAGGGTAGGCCTGTATTGCTATATATTTGCCTCTTAGGGCCACTTTGTTACATCTCAAAGGTTTTGGACTTTTGTGGGTTCCCCCCCCACCTTTCATTTGTTTCCTTGTATTTTTAAAAATTTCTTCTCTGATTTCCTAGTTGACCATTCATTGTTTAGTAGCCTGTTTTTTAACTTCTATATATTTGTGGTCTTTCCAGATATTTTCTTTTGGTTAACTTCTGATTTCATAGCGTTGTGGTCAGAAAAGTTGCATGGTATGATTTCAGGTTTTTGTATTTATGGAAGCCTGATTTGTGACCTAATCTGTGTTCTACTCTGGTGAATGTCCCATTTGTACTTGAATGTGTATTCTGCTGTTTTAGGATGGAATGTTATGAATATATCTGTTATGTCCATCTAGTCCAGTGTGTCATTCAAAGCCATTGGTTCCTTGTGTATTTTCTGTTTAGATGATGTATTAATTTAAATGGTGTGTTAAACTCCCCTACTTTTATTGCCTTACTGTCGATTACTTCCTTTTATGTTTGTTACTGTTTTATATATATGGGTGCTCCCATGCTGAACACGTACGTATTTACAATTATTATATATTCTTGTTGGATTGTCCCCTTTATTGTGATGTAGTGCCCTTTGTCTCTTAGTACTGTCTTTGTTTCAAAGCATATTTTATCTGATAAAAGTATTGCTACTCTAGCTTTATTTTGACCTCCATTTGTGTGATAACTGTTTCTCCATACCCTCACTTTCAGTATGTAGGTGTCTTTAGGTCTAAAATGATTCTCTTGTAGGTAGCATATAGATGGATCTATATGTGTATCTATAGTGTTTTTTTTTAACCCATCGTGACACCTTATATGTTTTGATTGGAGTGTTTAGTCCATTTACATTCAAAGTAATGATAAGTGTTTATTGCCATCTTAATACTTGTTTTGTTGTTTCTGGAGATTTCTGTGACCCTCTCTTGTTTCTGTCACTTTTGGTCTTTCCTTTCCACTCTGAGTCCCCTTTAATATTACTTGCAGGGCTGATTTAGTGATCATGAACTCCTTTAGTTTTTGTCTGTGAAACTCTTTATCTCTCCTTCTAAACTTAATGACAGCCTTGCTGAATAGAGTATACTTGGCCATAGATTTTTCCCACTCAGCACTTTGAGTATATATACCATGCCACTTCCTTCTGGCATGCCAAATTTCTGTTGAGAAATCTTCAGCAGTCTTACCTTGTAAGTTAAGGACTTCTTTTGTCTTGTTTGTTTTAAGACTTTTTCTATACCAGTATATTTTGCAAATTTAATTACAATATGTCTTGGTATTGGCCTCCATTTATTGAGTTTGATTGGAGTTCTCTGTGCCTCCTGAATCTGGATGTCTGTTTCATTCTCCAGATTAGGGAGGTTTTCTGCTGTTATTTCTTGAAATAAATTTTCTGGCCCCCTTTCTCTCTCTTCTTCTGGGACTCCTATAATACGAATGTTATTACATTTGATGGAGTCACTGAGTTCCCTAAGTCTGTTCTCATGTTCCATAATTCTTCTTTCTCTCTTTTGTTCACCCTTATTTTCCATCATTTTATCTTCTAGTTCACTAATTTGTTCCTCCACTTCTTCCAGCCTGCTGTTCATTGCATCAAGCCTGTTTCCAATCTTGGTCATCACATTTTTCATCTCTCAGGGATTCTTTTTTTAACTCTTTTATCTCTATGGTAAGGGTCTCCCTGATACCTTTTATTCTTTTCTTAAGCCCAGTGAGTTGCTTTAAATTCTCCATCAGGCACATTACTTATATCTGTTTTGCTTAGCTCTCTGGCTGTCGCCTTATCTTGTCCTTTCCTTTGGGATAAATTCCTCTGTCTTGGCACTTTGGTCTAAGTCTCTGCCTTCATCTGTGTATTAGAAAAGCCCGTTATGTTTTCTGCTGTTCACCATAATGGCCTTATGAAGAGGAGATCATGTAGCACTTTAAGGAGTGTCTCTGGTGTGTGGTGCGTGCACTCTGCTGTTGTATTATGGCTGCTCTAGCCTTCAGGCTGGTCGTCTGCAGGGGCTCTCCTCGCCTGCTGTGGGCAGTGGTTGGTCCTTGGCCTAGATGTGGCAAGTTTTAACTCTGGTGAAATGAGACCGGATGCCACCCTACCAGAACTGAAGCCCTGCAGAACTCTGTTTGGGGGACGTGGCGTGAGCAGGGATTTGTGCTGGTCTGGGGGAGGGGGCCCACTCCGTTGGAACTGAGACAAGCTTGACCGAGAAAGGCAGTCCCACCAGACGCAGGGGTGTGGGGCTTGGTGTAAGCAAGGGAAGCAGTCAGTATCAGAGCTGCGCTGCTTCCAGGAGGTGGTGTGTGTTTATGCTGAGTGGTGATGGAGGAAAATGGCTCCAGCCAGGTTGTTTGCCTGCCTTCTCTCCAGGAACAGGAGACCTCTATCTCAGCCAAGTCCTCTGACCTTTACAGCTCTAGGCTTTAGGTCTCACTGTTGCAAGAACTCAGGAAATGCAGTCCCTCTTGTTTTCTAAGCTAATGACTTTGGAAAACCATCCTCCTTGTTTTTTCCCCCTTTTCACGCTTGCTTACCCTCCCTCCCTCCCTTTCTTCCTCCATCCCCTTCTCTCGCTCTCGCTCTCACTCTTTCCTTCAGTATGACCTCTTCTCTCCCTTTAGTTGTGGAGTTCTGTCAGTCTTCAGGTCAATTTTTGGGGTATTCATGATGCTCTGATAGTTAATCTAGTCATGTTCATGGGACGAGAAGAGCCTAGAGTCATCCTCCTCCACTGCCTTCTTCTCTGAGTTGAGGTCTGTATATTTAAATGGGTTAAAAACATTCTTCATCTTCACTATTTTATAATATATATAATTGCCTTCAACTATGAATCTAGGTGGTTAATAACCTATGCTTTGGACTGTCTTTGGTTAGGACATATCAGATTGCCACTATGCCAGATGCTTTATATATGTTATTGAATTTAATTATTAACATTTTTTAGCATGATTTTTATGCCTATTTTATAGATAAATATGAGAAGCCAGAAAACAAATAACTTACCCAAAGTCCCACAGTTAGTAAGTGAAAATCATGCCAATGGGTGAACTGATACATGATTTTTTAAATTTAGTTTCATGACCATTATATTTTTAAAATTCAGTATTCTGATATTCTTTAACTCACATATACACTGTTTTTCAGTGTATAGTCTTTGCTATGACTTCTGGCCAGATGTGGAATCATATCCGTGGACCTCCGTATGCTCATAAGAACCCACACAATGGACAAGTGGTAAGTGTGTGTTCTAAGCATCCACATTTTGCACTTTAATCTTGTTTACATAGGAATCAGAAATTATGTTTACTATTTAGTGAGAAAGGATTTTATTTGTAAATTATAAGTTTGTTCTTTCTCTTCTAATACTACCTCTGCTATATACATACACATATATACAATATATTGTTTTTGGGATGAGGACTGCTTTGCTGTTTAAGAAAATTAATGTACTGGGCCACCTGGGTGGTTCAGTTAGTTAAGCATCCGACTCAGTTTCAGCTCAGGTCATGACCTAACGGTTTTGTGAGTTCAAGCCCCACATCAGGCTCTGTGCTGATGGTGCAGAGCCTGCTTGGGATTCTCTCTGCCCCTCTCCTACTCCTGCTGTCGCTCTCTCTCTCAAAGTGAATAAACTTAAAAAAGAAAAAAAAATTAATGTTCCTACCATATCGAATAGACATTCATAACTTACTTTTTCAACTTTACGTATTGCTCCGGTAATAATATGTAATGCCTGCAGAGGAAATAGGAACAGTTTGTAGTCACTGTCCTATCAGTGGTAAATTTAATTTAGTTCAGAAGAGAGTAATTAAAACATCATTATGAACTCTGGTAGTCCTTGTATTAGAATGCTAACAATTGTTTGCTACAAAATTAAAAGTGACATTAATGAAATCAGTAGCAAAGTTAACATTAGTAACTACTACTGAATTTACTTATTTTGATGCTTTCCTTTTTTAGGGTATTGTTTTCAGGAGTATTATTTCGGGTTTTTTTTTTTTTTTGGTGAATGGGATATATTGTAATAGATCAACTATCTTTGGGGCTTAGTATTTATTAGGTTGGCGATGATTAACTGTTTAAAAATGTAATTTTTTCTGTAACTTTTTCATTTGGAAAACATACGGATTCTGAGAAAATAATGTCATGACAACCCTCATATACCCATGGCCAAACAATTACTAGCTCATAACCAATCCTTGTTTCATCTAGTCCCCTGCTCCATTCTCTTTACCTGCTGTTGGATTCTTTTGAAAAAGTGCTCAATGTCAGTTCATTTCATACAGAAATACTATAGTAAGCATCCCTAAAAGATAAGGCCTTTGAAAATCATAACCATGTTACTGCAATCACCTAGGATAATAAATTCTTAATTTCTAAAATTGTGGTTCTGAATAAAATTTTCATATGGCAATATAGTTATAAATTCTCTATAAGTATAGATTATAACATAACTTTATGAGATTTATTCTTCACTGCTCACAATACTTGAAATATGTTTAATATTAAAGCCAACAAGTTACTTATTTCTTCTTCCTACATTGTGACTTTCTTTAAATTTCTTTGTGTAACTCTATAATACAAGGATATAATTCACTTTATTCATTTGCCTGTTCCTTGACTGCCCAGTCAGGTTTTAAGGACTGGTTGCTAATTGCCAGATTAGATCAATTTGGCCTCATATTTTTGTGAACGTACTTAGATTTCTCCTAAAGATGGCAATGATACGGAGTCAGAGTTAGTTTCTTTGGATGCTCAGCTGCCATCGTCATTTAGACATGGGTTTTGCTATGTGTATGTTTTTGAAATCTGTCACTACTTAGAAGAATTGAATGTTTTTAATATTCAAATTGAATTATTTTAAAGAAAAATAATTGGAAATATTTTTCAAGCAAGTCTTTCTGACCATCCTGTTGGAAAGTGTAGTCCTTTCCTCTCTTTCTCCCCAGTGCCCGCACTATCTCCCTTTTCTGTTTTATTTTTTCTTCATAGCACTTTATCATCTTCTAACATGCTGTGTTATCTACTTATTTTGTATTATTTTTGTGCGTGTCTGACTTTTGTCATGATACCAGTAAGATATAAGCATCTGACAGCATGACTTTCTATCGGTTTTTGTCACTGATATTTTCGTATTACATAAAGAACGTCCTGACACAAAGATTTGCTCACTGTTATGTTCATGATACCTAAACATGTAAATTTAGGAAATCTTCTAAGTTTATCATTACTGTCTTTTAACATTCTTTTAAAAGAATATTCCTTAGGTTGAAAGCATCAAGCATTGCTTTTTATATTGTTCGATTTGTTCAAGTATATGGAAAATTAATCAACATTCCTATGAAATGTGGTAACTTCTCTACTCTTCAGAGGTTTTAGCTAGGGTCCCTATAATAAAATACAGAATTATAAGAGAAAATCACATTTATTAACATGTATACTGCCTGCATACATAGGAGGTACTTGGAAAAATTTGTAAACACACAGAGATAACTTAATGTACATGCTCAAATACCATCGTTAGTTAAAGAGAGACAGAAATGTGTGGAGAGGAGGCCACTTTTGTGCAGGTGATCAGGAAAAGTAAGATGTATTACGCAGATTTAAGTCACAGGTGCCTTCCTTCCATTCATAAGGCTCTAAAGTTGTCTCCAGAAATTTACCTTTGTCCTTCGTGGTAAGGGGGGAGGAGGGACACCTTTGTAGATGTATATGCTGCTTTTAGCCAGATTGGGGAGGGCAGAATGCTTTTGTTGTATCTGCTTGTTGGTTGCCTTCAGCTCAAAATAATCCTTATGAAGGGGGAGTATGGGGCAAGCTGGGGGCAAAATATGGGCTGACACACTGCCTCATCCCCAGGTGGAATATGTGTGATATTCCTAGGACACCCCTGGCTACCCAAGAACAAAGGAACGGGGTTTAAGTGCTTGGCCATGATAATGCAAGAGACTAAGGCAAATGAAAAACTAAATTCCCTTACTACCTGTAGCCCATTGAGAAGTCCTTGAAACTGGCAGAGTGACCTCCCTCTAGGAGCTAGCTACCTCGATGATGACACTTTGTCAGTGGCAAAAGAGAACCTTAGTTTAACATTGTCCCAACCTGGAGGATCCTGTAAGTCTACTTCATTTTTCTCACTGCCCCAAGATATATGCTGGCAATCAGACTCCAGGCTTATGCTCCGCCTCCATATACATCTGAAGGGTCTCATGAATGAGGTTTTATTAAACGGTGATAAATGGTGTTTCCCTAGCAACAGCTAGCCCCTCAAGGTCCTGGAAACTTGGCGTCCAAAATTTCTTAGAGAATAACTCTATCCCTGACCTCCTTCCAACCAACCTGAGGGTGTATAATGAGTTACCCATCACAACCCTAAGGGTTGTGTACAACCAGGAAGAGTACAGCTCTTCTGCCCATGAGTCCTGCCCCCATGCTTTAATAAAATTACCTTTTTGCACCAAAGACATCTTCCAGAATTCTTTCTTGGCCGTCGGCTCTGCACCACCCCACCATGTTCCCAAAACTTCATCATTGACACCAGTGGCATATTTTGAAGTGTCATATTCTGCTACCCTTCATTCTTACTGTAATCTCTATTAATATTTCAACTACTGCTTTTCTAATACATGTAGTTTACTGTAGTTTATATGTAGTTAATACAAAACATGTAGTTCATTATTCCATGTAGTTTACTGGAGTAAGCTTCTAAAATGTTTGTGCTAATAGCGGTGATGACGGTGGATATGATCTGTTGCTTACTCAGTGCATGTGAGGCACTACACTTCATAGCTGAATATTTAGGGCTACCAGATGAATATTCCTGAAACATAACTTGTTATAGGTATAATATTAATATGTGTATGGAACTGAGTTACCAGTTCAAGAGCCTCTCCATTTCCTGACCCTTATAATTCTGGTTTTTTACCTTGATAACTCTGCTTTGCAAAAAAACTCAGTATTCGCATATTTGCACTGTTGCTTGTTTCCTAAATATATGCTTTATTTTGCTGTTTCCATTCCTGGAGCATTCTCTGTATCTATCAAATCTCACCTGATTTGCCATCCTGCTGAGATGTGTTAGTTCTTAATTACATTGGAAGTGCTCCCTACTTTCTTTATATATTTATTAACATGTAGTTAGTCCACTTATGTATCTATGCATTTTTAGTATAATAATTTTTTAATGATTCATATATCCTATTTTCTACTTTATTGTTTTATGTTTCAAGTTTTTATTGAAATTCCAGTTAATTAACATATAGTGTAATACTAGTTTCAGGACTAAAGTGATTCATCACTTACATATAATACCCAGTGTCCATGATAACAAGTACCCTCCTTAATGCCCGTCACCCATCTAGCCAATCCCCCCACCTACCTCCCCTTCGGCAACCCTCAGTTTGTTTTCTGTAGTTAAGAGTCTATTTTGTGGTTTGCCTCCCTCTTCCCCCCACCCCATGTTCAACTGTTTTGTTTCTTAAATTCTACATTTGAGTAAAATTATATATTTGTCTTTCTCTGACATATATCCCATTTTAGTCAAGCCCTTAGACATACAGAGTTTCTCCTAAGCTATTTTTTATCTTTACAACTTGCCTTTAGCTTGTTCTCAATAAATGTTTTATTAAATGATTATAAGGTTTCATACTGGGAAATTTTTGTTTCTTAAATTGGATTATCTTAATTCTCCTTTTAATTTTTTTTCTCACTAGTCAGAAGAATAATAGGATTAACATGTCACTGTTAATTCAGCATAAACCAGTTACTGACCTTAATGTGACAGGAACATTTAAAGTTCAGATTAGAGACACATTTTCTTTATTTAGAAAGTTATTTGTTTTTCAGGTAGAGATTGGTGTGGCTCTTAGGAAAAGGAACTCTGATGGCTCAGAGGAACACATTAAGAGAATTTTCTGTATTTTGAAAGGGAAAAACATTTCCTTCTTATGTACCTCTTTTAACATATTTATCGTAACTTTCAGCACCTTAATAAAAATGATAGAAATGATGAAATTGAAACCATAGCCAAGGTATTTAAACAAATGAATTCTGTTCCAAACTCTTCACCCCCTTTTATTTCACATAAATATAAAGGTCTTAGAAATCCTGGAGTTTCTTACTACAGAAACAATTGCATGAGAGATGTGGCTACAGTTGTAGGTTTATGTGAAATGCTAACTGCTTAGCAGTGTAGAAAGGGCCTATTATAGCATCCAGTAAAGGGGAAGCTGAAT